CAGGAGTGTGTAAAAGTAGCTGTTTGGTTCAGAAAGAGGTCAAGGGTCACACTCAGTGGTGAGAGCTGATAGGGGCCCCAGGAGGATTCCGGAAGAGGTGGAATCACTCAAGAATGTTACAGCAGCAACAGGAGTTGTTGGTGCAGTGTCACAGGAGTGTTAATGTGATGTTAGCCCAGAGACGTGTGTGTACCTCATGACGTGTGTGGCCTCATTCATGAAACATGAGCAGAACAAATTTCTTATTGAATTGAGTGCAAATTTATGCATGGTTGTATGAACGACATTGACCGAAATTCGTTCTGCTTGTGCTTCATGAATGAGGACCATTATATATACAAGCATGGACTTTATAGTCAATAGCTTAAAAGCCTCACGTAGAGATAAACTACTGTTCAAGATCTTGGGGTCAGAAACATTTTTTAAAGAATACTTTTATTCAGCAAGGACACATCAAATATTAATCAAAAGTGACCGTAAATAGCTACATGTATACTGTTATTAAAGATCATATTTGAAATGCTCTTTAAAATAAATGTATTGAACTTTCTATTTATCAAAGAATCCCCCCAAAAAAATGTATTACACTTTCCACAAAAAAAATTAAGCAACACAACTGTTGTTAATATAGATAATAAGAATAAATTTTACTTGAGCACCAAATCAGAATATTTGAATGACTACTGAACGACCATGTGACACTGAATACAGGAGTGATGGCTGCTAAATGTTCAGCTTTTATTCAAAAATATATTCAAATAGAAAACAGTATTTTAAACTGTATTTTTGACCAAACAAAAAAGTGAGACTCTTGGTGAGTCTTCTTTTTAAAAAAAAATAAAATAAAATAAAAATCTCATTGACCCCAAGCTTTTGAATGGTAGTTCATTGTTTAAATGGAAATTTGTAATTGAAGTAAATTTTTTTATGTCCAAGGACTCAGAAGTGAGTCTATGACACATTTTCACTAATATAGCCATAAAGATCTGTGTATGTCTGTGTAGATCTGTATAGCTTTTCAATATACCAAATATTAGTTACACACACCTACAAATATAAAGTTAACAACAATATATCTAAGGGCCCTATTTTAACGATCTAAGTGCATGGTCTAAAGTGCACGGCGCAAGTGCACTCAGGGCGTGTACAAATCCACTTTTGCTAGTTTAACGATGGGAAAACAGTCGGCGTGCCCGGGCGCATGGTCTAAACAGGTTGTCCCTATTCTCTTAATGAGTAATGGGTGTTTTTGGGCGTAATGTGCAATAAACCAATCAGAGTTTCACTTCCCATCCCCTTTAAAAGCCAGTTGCGCTCGCGCCATGGCGGGTTCGCTATTTACATGGCGGAATGTAATTTTTCACTTTTAAAAATGTTTGTGTGCTGCTGCGCATCCCTGTGTGTGTAATAAGCAACGTGTACGCGCGTTGTGCACCCGCCTATAGGCCCATATTACTAACGCGCTCTTTAAATAACAAAGAAAAAATATTGCGCCAGACTTTAGACCAGGTTTGAGTTGGTCTATGGCGCAGTCTATTTTCAGTTCCTCAAAATAGCAACGCGCCAACAATGCGCCTAAACACACCTTTTCTTTAGACCAGCACATTTTCTTACGGTCTAAACAGTGCAAATGCATTTGCTATTTAAACAACGTGGTACAGGACGGGAAAATGAGAACTGCGTCGGGCTGAAACTAGCAAAAGCACTTGCGCCGGGTGTTAGACAGGGCCCTAAATGTATCTATGGCACAAGTATTTATTGTGCATTTTGTCTGTTTAGTAATTTCAGTAATATGAAATATAAATTAGCAATAAATGGAGTGAAAAATACAATTAATTTGAAATTTAGTTTGTTTAAATTAGAATTATTGTTTAATCAACTAGTTCAATCAATTATTCATTATTCACAAAGCAGAATGCATATAAAATGCATTTATTTAAAAAAAGGCAGAGACAATAGCACTGTGGATCTTGGGGAGTGCTGATTCACTGCTGGGATGATTCATGCAGCAGTGTTTTCCTTGCATTTACTGTAAATGCTGCCTTCATAAATCAGGTGAATGTTTCAAGTGCACCTCATTCATCCATAATCACACACAGTCATTCACTCACAAACAAAAACATAACCTAGAGAAAGATAAGGTCAGGAAAAGGCAATGAGGATCAAGTATCCTTCTGTGCTTTTATTAAACAGCTTAATTTGTCTCTCAGGGCAATATGTGCAGTACACACAGAAATGACAGAAGTATTGATGCAAACAGTAATTAGTAACAACAGGCTCTTGACCAGGGCAAGAGACAGAGGAAAACAGATAAGGACAGAGAGAGAACAACAAAGATTGATTTCCAGGAGCGGACCCCCTCAACAGCCTGACCCCCGTGTAAGCGGTGAGGGAATTATTGCATCACTTACTGTTTACGGTATTTTCATGAAGCCGAGAGCCCACCTTTAAACAGGGGCCCACCGTACAGCAGCAGCAGCAGCGCGTGCACACACACACACACCATTGACAAAGGGGCCCATGTAGGTACAGGCTCCGAAACACATCTACACACTCATCAACACTGCACGAGTTTACAAGCATTCACGCAAGTCTCCATCAAATGAACATGCAACAGCCTCCATCATGTGTGATATTACAAGAACTCACAGATTCATGCATGCTCGCACTTGCCTCTAAATGACATGAAATACTTTTGGGAAGGGTTAGGGTTAGGACTAAACCTACTTAACCCACAACCATCACTTAAAGGGATTGATAGTTCACCCAAAAAGGAAAATCTTGTCATGATTTACTTAGCATCATTTTTTTCCATAGGATGGAAGTCATTGTTTTGGGGACACACACACACACACACACACACACAGAGAGAGAGAGAGTGAGACATTGCTTTAAAATATCTTCTTTTATGTTCCACAGAAGAAAGTCAGTCATACAGGTTTGGAACGAAATGAGGGTAATTAAATTATGAAACTATTTTCATTTTTGGGTGAATATCCCTTTAACTAATCCACCATCAAAAGCAAAGACACCACATCCTAAAATGAATTTCTGCTCTTGCACATCACAACTGGCATATTGATAATGTTGGTACTTATAATAAAGAGCTTGGGATATTCCTAATTTTTAAGCCGTAGATATTGCCAAATTAATAAATTTCATTAAAAAAAAAAAAAACTATTTAAGCAGCATTTTGTTTCAAACCTTTAGTCTTTTATAACTATTCTAAATATGTTATACATAATATGAAGCTAAAAAGCTGCATGCATAATAAAGTACATTAACAATGTGGTACACTTGTAATGAAGTGCTAAATAATCTTTTTGTCATAACTTTGTTCATTAACGTTCGCAAATTGGAAAGCGGCGTTCTGTTGCCATGGTTGCTTCCTCAGAGTCAGTGTCACATGATCCTTCAGAAATCATTCTAATATGCTGATTATCAATATTTAAAATCAGGATTCTTTGATAAATAGAAAGATCCAAAGATCAGCATTTATCTGAAATAAAAAGCTTTTGTAGCATTATACACTATTCCATTCAGTATAATTTTAATTTTTTTGGGAAAGAAATTATAGAAATTAATACTTTTATTTAGCAAGGATGCTTAAAATTGATCAAAAGTGATGATAAAGAAATTTATAATGTTACAAAAGATTTATATTTCAGATAAATAGAGTTCATATCGATATCGGAATTATATCGTATCGACCGAAATTAAGAAATATATCGTGATATCAATTTTGGCCATATCGTCCAGCCCTAAGTCAGACACAACGCGACTTCTGTTTGTTTACTAGTCTATTTGAAGACGCTCTGACTAAAACATGCAGCCTAATTAATTCGTAACTGCTTTATACACTGGTGTACATTTCACTTAAAAAGTCCATGGGCACGTTACGCGTCTGCTGTCCTTAAATTGTTACTTGCAAAGTCCACATTATTTCCTGAACCACAACAAACAGAACCCAAACACGCGCTTCCAGCCCAAACAGCAGAAGGAGTCCAAGGCCACGGAACCAGTAAGTTAGCCTTTAACAAAAATCAAACCACTCAGCTATTTTCTTAAATGTTTAAAACCCTGAGGTACTGTATGCACCTTTTCAACCACTTTGAATGAAGATTAAAAAATTAAAAAAATTAATTAAAGTGACAAGTGGATGGAAACTAGGTCACAACATAAGGATGAAAACATTTGTACCGTGCAATTAAGTCAGACAGGAGCTCTTATGAATCCCTCACACAAGTGCAAATATGTTCAAGTCTCACTAGCCCAACATCAAGCATTATCGTCCAAGCAGGCAGGTTTTATGCTGCTGGAGATACTGGATTCAGCGCATTGTACAGTCCCCCATTTTGAACGCATTCCAAGATTTAAGATCAATCCGGAACCAAGACAGTCAAACCAGCAAAAGCCACAGACAAAATATTAATAAGCCTTCATTACCATAAATTCATTGTCCAAAACCGGACTGGATGTGGTAGCGCGCTCATACAAGTGCAAATATGTTCAAGTCTCACTAGCCCAACATCAAGCATTATCGTCCAAGCAGGCAGGTTTTATGCTGCTGGAGATACTGGATTCAGCGCATTGTACAGTCCCCCATTTTGAACGCATTCCAAGATTTCAGATCAATCCGGAACCAAGACAGTCAAACCAGCAAAAGCCACAGACAAAATATTAATAAGCCTTCATTACCATAACTTCATTGTCCAAAACCGGACTGGATGTGGTAGCGCGCTCACACAATCCATCGCGCACTGGATAAAAAGATTAAGGTGCAGGAAAGCGCGCGGTAACATCACAGAACCACGCGACCCTCACACGTCAATATCTTAATATTCACAACTCCGTAACTTAAGATTTCCACTTAGTTTATCTAGTTAATCTAATGGAACCAAACGAGCGATCTTTAAATGTGTTAAAAACAGCTCCGGTAACTTAAATTGTCTTACACTTTCTTGTTGGCATTACCATATATAACGTAGGGAATATCTTACCGTGCGTTAAGGACTAACGTTACCGATCCACACTTCACTTTTGCCCTCGTCCGCGCCTCTCATACTGAATCCACGAGTGAGCTCATAAACAACCCACGATAGAGCCACTCTGAAGTCGGACACGGGACAAAATATGTACAAAGCACAATAACTGAAGAATCCCAGGAGAAAAGCGGCACGGGAGCGCACGCGACTCGGCGTTTAGGCGACGTGTTTTCGTTACCGGGTCCACATCGTCCGCTGACGAGCGCCTGTAAACAGCGCTGAGCTGAAGCGAAGTACGAAAGTAGGTCAGACTGGAGCTCAATACTCAACCAACGACAGCAGCACTAACCGCACGCAGCCTCGCACACACGCGCCACAGAAAAGACACGCATGTCAGGAACGCACTTGAACATAAATCATTTTCATAGACGATCAGCTCTTTTGGCTCTTGCTTTAGTGAATGTCATGCTGCTGTCAGCCCGTGACTCTTATGTGGAGCCGACGGTCGCCTTTCGCAAATGCACGTTTGCCTCAATATAGCTGCTTTAATATAATGAAACAATGGTCACACTTTATTTTAAGGTTCCATTCTCGCTATTAACAAACTTTTAACTGCGACTTTTGCCTTTTGCAACTCCTAATTTGCTGAATAGTTAGTAAGGTAGTTGTTAAGTTTAGGTATTGCTTAGGGATGTAGAATATGTAAGTACTATGCTAATAAAAAGCCAATATGTTAATAGCAGGCATACTAATAAGCAACTAGTTAGTAGTGAGAACTGGTCCCCTATACTAAAGTGTTACTGAAACAATTTCTTGCAAGATGATACAACTCTGTGCTGTGTGAGTTAAACAAGTAAAGGTAATAAATTGTATTATTATAAATAATAACTTTGATTAACTCGTGCACCTAGATGTGAATCAAATTGCAGAAAAAAAATATTATTATGTTTTATTTGTAGAGTGCCTTGCCAAAAATTCAAGGTTGCTTTACAAGACCACGAAGAGTGTTGAAAATTAAAGAGTATTTCGGGATGAAACAGACAATTCTTATTAAACATGACTGGAAAGATATAGGCAGAGAGCTTTGTGTGAAAAAGCGATTCTGTCAGGTAGTTACAAAAACAGAATCACAAAAGAGCAATTAGTCAGGGAACAAAAAAAACATTTAAGTAGAACAGACGTGTACAGCACAATGCAAAATGCCTATGAAAATATCAACATGACAGTTCAACAGTGACCGTGGCGGTTGTTGGAAGTGACTGCAATAGGTCCAGGCTTAATATATGTATGTGGTGATGCTCAAATTTACAAGAAGCTGAGCCCAGAGCTACCTTTTGAAGGCACATGTGAACATCCTGCTCTATTTTGGTGGTAGTTTTCTCATATATTCCACTGATGCAGCAAAAGGTGAAACTGGGTCTGTTGTAGCAGTGTCAGGAGCTGAAATAACGATGCTATATGGCACAGTTTACTGATGTTTATAATAAAATAACATGGCAGAAATTTGCTCCGAATTGATCAAATAAATACGTTAAACAAATCAAATCGAACACTTCAAGCACTAAAACTTTTTAGCACTGCATACTTATTTTATAGGATAAAACATGCCGACAACACAAAAACGAATACATTTACGGAACATCTTTTTAATCAGCTAAAGCAGAAATCATGTGTGATGCTGGAAAGCCTGTATCAGGACACAGTATTGGTTGCCATGGCAAACACAGAATCCTCCATCAGACTCTCCGTCCAACATCCTAAAACACATCAGCTGCGTGGCTTTACCGGCTCCGTGCATGTTTACTGTACTCACCAAATAGATGTAATTGCTGTGCATAATTCTTAATACTTTAGTAGTTTTAGTTGCCATGATGTGCTTGCAAAAGTAGCTTCAAAACTCTGCTAATTATTATAAAACAAAAGGAACGGAGTCTAATTAAAGTCTGATGACAATTGTTAATGGAGGGAGTTTTAGATTCATCATGCAACCGTATATCAGAAGTTTAAAACGCATGATTTCAGCACGATAAACATGATAATCAGAACCAAAACAGATGTTTTTAGGAGGTCCGAGCTGTAATGGTGCAGCTCTATTCTGGAAAAGTTTGCTCATTTGCATTTAAAGAGACAGGCATTTCTGCTTCCACTGAAAATAGATCATTTATTATATTATATATTTTGAAAATGCCTGTGGAGTATTTTGAGCTGAAACTTCACAGACACATTCTGGAGACACCAGAGACTTATATTACATATTGTAAAAAGGGGCATAATATGTCTCCTTTAAAGAACTACCAGAGGAATATGGGTCAGTGGAACACCAGCACAAGCGCGAGGGAGGAACTGAGAAAGTGAAAGAAAGGGAGAGAGAGAGAGAGAGAGAGAGATAATTTAATGCTTTGTAGCAGAGTTTCTGAGATTATTAGTGGACCAGCAGAATAATTGATTCTCCTGTGTCGGTATAGGTGACTTTTATGAGCAAACAACATTCAGAAGTTCAGGAAATACTAACAAGAACTTCCTCATTAGAATCACACAGCAGATATGTGTCAAGGGTGTGTGTATATGTGTGAGCACACACAACCTACATGTTTCTGTGGTAAACCAATAAAAGGTCAAGTGATTTGTTTCACAATCTAGTCATCAGATTCTCCCTTTATAGGAGCAAACACACCTCTCTTCAGACATATATCTGCAGACACACTATACAGTACACAAATATGCAATTGTTCCTTCTACTTATGATTTGATCAGCAATTTTAAGTGTTGATGGTTTATATTAAGCAATAGGTAATCATCCATATCTGAGGTCAAATCTTGTTTTTGTCTGACAGTGGTTTGTTTACTAGTCTAGCACTGACACAAATTAGTCAGATTCATTTCAGTAGTTAATTAATAACTTATTACAAACCTCTGCTTCCTGATACCACAGATCACATCCTAACTTGTATGTTAAGAGAAACATCAGAAATAATGTTTGTTTATTATACCAATAGCCTTAAGTTAATTAAGCCGATAGCCTTGTGGGCAGCACGCCAACAGCGCTACGGGCATCCCATGGTCGAATCGCGAATCGAGGACTTTTGCCAATCCTGCCCCCTATCTCTCTCCCACTTCACTTCCTGTCAGTTCTGATCTGTCCTATCCTAATAAAAAGGCAAACATGCCAAAAAAATTAATAAATAAAGAAGAAATACTGACATTCTCTCATCTTTCATACTTTCCCGGTGTGTATCTGTGAATCAGTTTCTGTTGATCTTTGGATCTCTCTCTCACACAAAGTTGATCAAAATCACTAGTTCTTGGGAGCTTTCAGTTTCTTTATTTATATACACCACGTATTCATGCTATGGCGAGAATAGAGCTATTTAATTAACAAATTTCACCAACAATACTCAACAGACCAAACACTTTACATGGACAAACACATCCAAAATTGCTATTGTGAATGTTTTTAAAGGCCGGGGTTGTGCCCATTTTCGACTCCCTGCCAAATTATTACCTGCGCTTGAACTCACAGGCAACTGCAAACGAAACGCATACATTCTGCGCCTGCGTGAGAGGAATTAACTGTCTATATCAGCAGCTATCAATATTAAATATTCGTTGTTCAAAAGGAGAAACCAAAACAAAGATATACGAGTCAGGGGAAAAAAATTTCCATCGACGAGAGGAGCACACCAAACAAACTGGCCCGACAGACGCTCGATGGCTTGGTGCGTCTCGGCCTTAAATACAATTTCGAATTTGTATGTACTAAGGGTACAACGGTTCTTGGTAAAAAAATCGAACCGTACCGTTCTCCACAGACGGTTCGGCATGCACAAGGACCGCGGTTCAACTTAAATCTGACGATGCATCTGTAATATGATTTGTTAGAGTTCGACTAATGCATGTTTCTGTTGATGGATACAAATTCTGGCTTCCCAATACATTATAACAAGCAGCGATGAGAGAAAAAAAACAATACGTGGACAAACCAGTCACTCTTTGTTTAAATTCGAGTGCTGTATGTTGGAATAACTGTCATTTATGACAGTCATCACGTGTTAATAACGCAGGTGAGACCTGAACAGCACACGTTACTATCTGTGTTTAAACTAAACTAATTTAAGCCTGGCCAGTTTAAATATTAAAGAGCCAGAAGACGCGAACTCGCGCGCGCAGTTAGAAGATCTGTGTGTGCACAGTGCGCTCATCCGAAGTGCGTGAACCCGCGTCTCAGGTGACAGCACTTTCTTAATGTTAATCAAACAGCAACAACACGGAAATCACTCACTGCTCTTGACTGAATAAATTGTTACTTTAATAAGGATTCATCTTTAATTTATACAGTCAAATATGCAATGTTATTTTACATTTGATTACTTTATTCAATTTCTGTACCTACAAACTAATGTTAGACCTACCTAAAAAACCTGAAAAGCACTGTTTATTTTATTTGTATCTTTGCTCTATTGTATTTATTTGTGCTGTTGCTTGTATTAGATTATTTGTTATCTTAATTATTTTTATTTGACAATATAGTTTTTTCCCAAAACATAGCACCTACCGAACCGTACCGAAACAGTGACTCTAAAACCGTGATACAAACCGAGCCGTGAGCAAGTTGAACCGTTGCACCCCTAGTATCTACATGGGTCAAAGACGTTAAGGTGTCCGCATCAAAAGAAATTTACAAAAGTGATTTTATGTCCATAGAAAGCTCATTAAATGTAAGTAAAGTGTCTACTTTTAAGGTCAAAGGTCAAAATTTGGTTGAAATAATTGTAAACATTGAAATTAAAACATGAAACATTGTCATTGTGTAACACAATATTTATGTAAAAATTCAAACAACATGCTTATTCTGACGTGTACAGCTGTTGCTTGTATTAGATTATTTGTTATCTTAATTATTTTTATTTGACAATATAGTTTTTTCCCAAAACATAGCACCTACCGAACCGTACCGAAACAGTGACTCTAAAACCGTGATACAAACCGAGCCGTGAGCAAGTTGAACCGTTGCACCCCTAGTATCTACATGGGTCAAAGACGTTAAGGTGTCCGCATCAAAAGAAATTTACAAAAGTGATTTTATGTCCATAGAAAGCTCATTAAATGTAAGTAAAGTGTCTACTTTTAAGGTCAAAGGTCAAAATTTGGTTGAAATAATTGTAAACATTGAAATTAAAACATGAAACATTGTCATTGTGTAACACAATATTTATGTAAAAATTCAAACAACATGCTTATTCTGACGTGTACATATCAAAATAAATAAAAGAATAAGGGAGCATATTACATTTTAAAGAAAAAAATTCTTACTGACAAATGTGCAAAACCTAGTGAGAAATTATTCTTTTTTTTAAATTACAGCTAATTAGTATTTGGGGTGAAAGTAATTAGTCTTTTAATGTGTCATAAATTGATTTTTGTTGTAAATATGCCTGACAAGATTGTTACACTGAATGACATTTTAGTGGGCGTCTTCTGTAAATCAGGGGGAAATGTATGATATTTATTTTTTGCTCAGAAAAACTAAAACAAAATTGCAA